AGGTGGGTTGCATGAAGGCGACTGCAAGGAAGAATGACAGATGCGCAGTGAGATTTAAAGTAGCCGAGTAAAGGCTGATCGGCCTGAAGGAGGCCAGCAGAAAACTGATTGGACTAGACATGTGATGTCATAATCAACTTGACAGCGTGGGAAAGTGGAATTGATGTAAAGCTTAGATTATCCGTCAACACCTGGGAAGCAGACAGATGGGTGACGACAGATCTTCCTTACTGAACTTACGCATAAGCTTCATTTAAATGTCAGTCTCATTAAGAGGAAGTTTCAGAGCCATTTCAGCTTATTTCACCGGGCTAAAGTCCAAACTTTAGATATTTATTTCTTTTTCACATTTCCTAAAATTGTAAAACTTCTAGATTAACATGCAAAAACAGATTTCATTTTATTAGTTTATTTTGAATACTATGAATTTCAACTTGAAGATGTCAAACTGTTCCATTTTTGAATTATTGTGTTTAGTAACAATGCAATAGTCACTCGCAGATAATTAAACTACTGATAAAAACAACAAGAAATCGCAGATAATCCACACAGGGTTATCACCTCTGGATAAAGCTGGAAAAATCTCCAGCTTTGCTAAGGCTGCAAATTTCACTAGCTGGCAGGCCAAGTTGCACCTCTAAGCTACCTTTATGCCAGTGAAGATTAAAAAAAAAAAAACACTTGGAAAGTCCTGCTATTCTTGATTGCGTTATTTCTTGACTGTTTTTGTGCACAGCTGGGATTCTCTGTCTCGAATATATAGCAAATGCTGTGTTTCAAACTTTGGAGTGTAGAGTGTAAAGCTTGTTTGTTTATTATAATTTTTGTGCAATGAAAAATGTAGAAAGTAATTCTATCTTGCCTTTTTCAGTGCTTCAATTTTTGACAAACTTTAAATCAAGTCTATGAAGTGCAATAATAAAATACTGGAGTAGTCTTCAACTGCTGAAATGTACTTCCTATATACCACAGATTCAGTGTATAATCTGTGCATATTCATTTCTATTGGGATGAAAAAAAATAATGTTCACAGCTTGTCTTCCTTGCCTTTCAAATATCAGCTGTGATACCTTTATCAATATCCAAAAGCATTTCACTAGAATCTGCACAAATGTTCTGTTACTCAGCAAAATAAACAAAAACAAACAAACAACCTTAAAATATATTTTGGCTCTGGAAAATCAGAGTCCTCTTAAATAAACACGCTCAGCTCTAAGCCCCAGAACAACTCTTTTTTGAGTTGTTCTGTAATCTCCTGCATGCAGCATTGTGCACACTTAATCTTGCAGTAAGCTATTGCTTTATTCTCCAAAGCCTAAATAACACAGGTCTGAGGGGGCAATCAGTTACTCCCTGAAACAGTCAACAGCAGCTCTCATTCTCTTGGGGCTTAGTTTATGCATTTTGGACCTGGTTACAGAACTTCCTAGATATTCTTGCTTCACCTTAATCAACCGTCTGTGTTTTTGCTGAGTGAAGCATTAGTCATTGAATTGCTGTCCACGTTGGACTGTTGCTCGTAATCCATCAATGCAAAGTAGCCAGCCTTCTCTCCAACACTCCCAGCAGTAGCAGTGCACAGACCTAACTCTTCCTTCCTGTTTTATAATTGGTTTGGCTCAGGTAGGATAAAGGAAGATTGGATGTGTGTTTTACATTAATGCATTAAAGTCGATCCATTACGATGTGTTGGCTTCTGTTTTAAAGTCATGAGTTAATCTGTCAGTCTCAGGTAAGGTAATTTTTCACCAGTGTTTCACGTTTATTCTCTTCAACAGATTGAGAAGATCATGAACTTAATTGGAGCAGGAATTGAAACATCCAAAAACAAGCAGCCCATACCAAGTTCAGGTAATCCATCAGTAACCAACTTGAATTTGGAGTCTTTTCTTCTACACAGATTTGACTTTGTGGTGTAAATGCAAAATAACAACACTGTCTGAGCTATTAAGGAATGTTACTCATTTACCACTGATGAGTTAATTGAGCACGATTTATATAGAATATTATCTGCAACCAGTCATTTTACACCAGCAAGAGCTCCTTCATGGCATTTAAACACGCCTTCAGAAAGGACGAAGAGCACTTTTATTGTTCTCACAAGTTACAGTGATTCATGCTGACTTTTGTTTGGCACATCATTGTTGTTATTTATTACTCACAAGGTTTCCACTTCATGGGAAATCAAATTCTAAATTCCCCTCAGTGTTGTAATTTTTTTTCTCGTGGTACTGTAGATCTCAATAGGGCTTGATTTGATAGTACGCTTCATCAAGTGTCCTTCAGGCAGTACAGAGGGAGAAGCCAGCTGGCATCATCTCAGTTTGTTTAGATAACACAACTGAGTTGATACAGTGTAAACCTACCTCCATTACATACTCTGTAGGAAAGGAGGCTTTGTCGTACAGGACTGTGTAAGGGTGTTTTTCTGCACAGGACTGCGTTTTACGTGTATCATCAGATTTATTGGGATAACATTTTCATTAGTAATGTGCAGTATGCTTTATGGGCTGCAGTGTCTGCTGACCAAAGCAACGAGAGAGTTTCTTTCATCATATTTCGGATTCAATGCTGTCATTTCTTCCATAACATCTTCCTGAATTCCTCTTACAAATGTCCATTTGGTGTATTTATGTGATTGTTTTGACCACTTTTAATATAAAATAGTGAAGATTGTAAATTTTCTGTTTTGGATTTAGCGTTAAATTTTATTTTCAGTCGTCATGTCTGGAAGACAATCGATTTCTTTTAGCTATGAGAAGTAAAACCTATATTGTAAAAGTAAATAAACATTATACAGCTTTTTGAGTGGCAATAATAAGGTGAAAATTCTCAATGTTTATGATTTCCCCTAAAGTAACAAAATGCAGATTAAAGTGCTTTTAAAAAACTCACAATTTAGAAATGTACATTTTCAAAAGAAGAGGACGAAAGTATATCAAAAACAATAAAAATAAACTGTTCTTAGAAATCATTAAATGTACTTATTTCATCACATTTCAATTCTTTTAAGGATAATTTCTGTTCATTCATTATCTTTAAGCTCACATATATCTTTTTTAAGAAAAGCTTGTTAATTTATCATTTTAATTTTGACTTAAATTCCAGCTCAGTGAGCAGTGTTGGATTAAATGCTATCTAAGCAATTAAGACCTGGAGTTATTCCACATTACGTAAGAGCAAATATGGTGTTTGTTTTCTCTACACTTATAGGTGTGTGCTATTAATAGTCCTTGTTTGAAGAATGACATGCTGAAAGTGTCCCAGATTCAGCTGAGTCATACACTTGCTGCTCCGATTTAAATCGGAGATTGTGCACAACTAGTTCTGATGGTTGCCAGGATGCTTTTTTTGTGTGTCTCTTAATAAAAAGGTCATATTTCCTTTTTTCACTGTGTAAGGGAAGGATCAGCTACCCTTCAGAGTAATCACATGGGGAAGGAGGTACACATAGATAGGAGGGGAGAGATGTAGGAGGGATTACACAAAGATGGAAACCTAAATTGTAAATCTTTATTCCACTTTTAGCTTTTGTTGTGACAGGATGAGGAAAACCTTATCCACTTCATAACACAAGTGAAGGATGGTCATTCATCTTCTCGAAGCAATTTCTGAAAAGAATCAGATTTTCTCGGCTAGCAAAATGTTAATGCAGTTTTGTACCATATAAATCCTCAAAGATAATGATGTTTGTGTTGTGTGCCGATCACAAGTGCCTTGATTGTATGAAAGAGTTCACTGAGTAAATGTGCTTAGAATAAGAGAGGGACTGGAGAGAGAGACCGCACAGCTAACAGCACACAGGAGGCATCGGCTCGGTTTGTGTACAGGCACACTCTGACGTTCAAAGGAAAAGAGTCCGCCTTCAGTTTCTCTGAATTAATTCAGCTTTGCGGCTCATTTTCTCCAGTGCTTGGGTGTGTTGACAAGGAGCTACTGCTTTTCTCCTGCTCTGATAAAAAGGCATGGCTTTATCTACACACAACCTCTACCTCTTCTTCGGTAAATAGGCCATTCGGGGTGTTCCGTGGAGCCAAGTCTAGACCTCATAGTGCTCACACAGCACAGAAACCCACTTGGACAGATTTGACAGCTTGGGCTGTTTAACAGGGGATAAGACAGTGACCCATTTCCCCCCACCCCCCAAAGGAGAATTGGATCCTCTGTCAGTCAGTAATTAGGTTTTACTATCGTGGGAGGTGTTCCTGTCCCAAAAGAATGGAAAAAATTGGGTGGGGTGGATGGTATTTTGAGCAGTTTTGTTGTATCGTAAAAGCTGAGATTGGTATGAGGCTTAGGAGAAAAGTGTAAAGTATGAGAAGGAGGAGTTGTGGGATCTTGTAGTGAATCATAATTAGTCCACTTCAATCCTTCTTACTTCCTATTACCATCTTATCTCACCCATATGTTTCATCGCCTCCTCCTCTATTAGTCTTTTTCCGTCTTATCTCTCTTGCACATTCTCTCCTTCTCCCTTCCTTTCTCCTTCCCCCTATCCATCATTCTTCCCCTCAGTCACAGAAAATTTAATAGCAGCCTCTTTTCCTGATAACGAATGATGAGCATCAGTCCTTGTGGATGACTGACAGGTCATTGAGACCTGACTTGGCCTTTCACCTAATTGTTAAGGGCGAAGAAACAAAGGTATACGTGGCCAATTAAAGAGAAGGTTCAATCAATAGCCCTTCACTTTGCCTCCCTGTGTTGTCATTGCTTCTCCTCGCCCTCTCTACCTTACTGACTGGCTGGCTACCCATTGGGGAATGTGTGAGGTGATTGCAGGCTGCTTGAAAGCCTGCATAATAATGCTTTGCCTGGAGCCTTACTGGGATAACACCACTGAGTCTTTCAAGCCTTGTTCACCTGTCATTAACATGCATATTTGGTCAAGATCACAAGTGGACAGTTCTAATTATAGGTGTGAATATACTCAAGATGTACCGAGAACACATAGCTCACACCTCCATTAAAGGTGGTTTGATCCACCTTTTTTGTATATAAAAGATGAACGTAACATTTGGGACATCAGGGATTGGTTTGTGTAGACTGCATTTCAAAGCTCAGGTGTTGGGTTAGTGGGTCCTGACATGTTGTGGGAAAAAGACAGAATAATGAAAGATGGACATATTTAGAGGAAAAAATGAAGGACTAAACTTGGTTAGCAAATGCTTCCATAAACCATGGAGGTGCAAAGCACATACCACACATATTCACAAATTAGTTCTAATAGTACATAAAATAATAGATTTTCATGCAATAAAACTGAGGCACAGACTGTTTAATGTCAAAAAGTCACCAACACCACAAAGAAAGTTACAGTTCAATAACTATAACCTATCTACTTCAGGTACTTTAGCATTGGCTTCATTTTTCAGCCACTTGACTGCAGAGTTGCACTTGTCAACTGAAGCTTTGCTAGTCACTAAAATACAGCTGTGCATCTGCCATTGGCTTTAGCAGTTTGAACACCTGTGGCTATTATTTATTATTACTTCTGCAAAAGACTGTTGGATGATTTCGTAATTTGTGAAAGGCACTTTAATGCAATTCAATTCAGTTCAGCTCAATTTTATTTACATAGCACCAAATCACAACAGTAGTTGCGTCAAGGCACTTTATATTGTAAAGCCTACAATAATACAAAGAAAGAAAAAGGCCCTTTGAGAAAGTTCTTTGGTGACAGTGGGAAGGAAAAACTCCCTTCTAACAAGAAGAAACCTCTGGCAGCACCTGGCTCAGGAAGGGGCTGCCATCTACTTAGTGATAGCTTACAGTAATCTGCTGTTGTGTAGAGCAGTGAGATGCTGGTTTGAAAAATTAGACTGCAGCAGGAATCTGGTATTTGGTCTTATCATTAGTTTTTGACTTTTCCGTTTCACGTTCTTGTCATTGTCTCTCCTTTTCCCCTTATTCTCTTTCCCCTCAACCCCCAAACCAGTCAAGGCACATGCCTGCCCCTTTCTGATACTGGTTCTACAGTGTGTCTTTTCCAGTTAAACGAGGTTCCTTACTTCCTACCATCATGAAGAGTTAGCTCACAGGGAGCTCAATCATTGGGGTTATATTGTATTGTCTTTACCTCTAATTCAAATGTCTTGGGATTTTTGCAAATTGTAGTTATGATTAAAAGCGATAACTTGGCATTCAAATGCCAAGTGTGAACTTCTGCAGTTGTCCAGTTGTGATCAGATTACTAAAGACATGTTAATGCCACACATGACCTGATTTATTTATTTTTAACCCCAATTCTAAAAATTTTATGTCATCTTACTTTCTTATGCAGGCTTTTTCCAGTAAGAAGCCTCTGTTGTGCTCTAAAAATGGTTGACATGACATGAGCATCTGGAAGTACATAATGGAATTTGCCTCTTTTCTGTCATGCTGGATGAGATGGAGAAGAGGCAGGTCTCGACATGTCCTTTTCTCTTCTCTTCTCTTCTCTTCTCTTCTCTTCTCTTCTCTTCTCTTCTCTTCTCTTCTCCAAGTGTATTAAAAACTCTGCTGACTTGAATCAATGCTGCCCCCCCTTGTCCTATCATCAAAGTAAGATGTAAATGAATTAAAGCCTTCTGGTAATAAGCAGGGATTTGAGCAGAGTCTTTGTTTCAATATCCCATGTTAGCCAAAAAAACTGGCGTGGCTCCTGCAGAACTGGATCGAGGTTCCATCATCCCTTTAAATTCTAGTCATTCTTAGCTGGAACAGACTGTGATTTGGGGCTTTCGGAGCTTGTTCCTCGCCTCTGATGGTGGTGTCCTTTCTCCACTGGCAAGATCAGAGTGCTTCTGTGCAATTCTAATCAGTGCAGTGGAGGGGGAGAGAGGGGGAGAGGTACGTTAAGGTTAGAGAGACACTGCCAGAAAAGAGTGAGTATGTGTGCATTTTATTGAGAGAGAAAGAGGAGCAAGATATAATGGGAAGGGGTAGACAGACAGACGATGAGTCGAGAGAGAAAGTGTGCGTGCGTTTGCATCTGTCTGTGTGTTTGAGAACGAGAGGCAAGGAGCGAGACAGAGTGAGGGAGAGTGAGAGCCAGAGAGGGAGAGAGAGGCAGAGGGAGGGGAAGTGATATAGTGGGAGAGAGAGGTGGTTACGTGGAGCAGCACCCCACTTCATCAGGCAGCATACGGCAGCCCTGCAGTGCGATCACACAGTATGGGTATGGGGCTATGAGATTGAGAGAAAGAAAGCTGAGAGAAGCGAGAGAGACAAGAGGGGGGGGGGAGTTACAAAGAAGAGCTTGGGGGATTTGCTCGGATGAGAAGGGGGGGATGAACAGTGAGTCTGTTGGCTGTCGTGGATGTGAGAAGGACGTGGCGGCAGTGGCTGAGCTTAAGGCAGATCGTTGGTCTCCTGTGTAGAAGTAGCCAGCGTGAGGACGCTATGCCCTGTGAGCAGTGAGGGGTAGCGTGTGTGAGCCAGGAGCAGCTGCTGTGACTGCATCTGCGCTGCCTGCGTGTCTCCGACAGGCAGGGGATGCAGCAAACCTCTGCCCTGAGCACAGAGGCTGCTAGCTGCACCCAGCAAGGGGAAGAACCAGGTGGGCTGGGGAGGGAGTGGGGGGCGCCTGCCTCAGGAAGGAGCTACCTTAACCGGCACTGTGGTCCTGCAGTGATCCTCGCTTCAGAGTCAAGAGGCTCACCTGCCATCTGTTGGATCTGAACCTGGATTTACTGCTTTCAGAGATGAGAAGCACGTTCTTTGGCTTAGCCGCACATCCAGCAGCTTGCTGAAAAGTGTGAATGTGGGCAGCACAGGGAGCACTGGTACCACCAAGGACACTGAGCCTTTTTCCTTTGGCAGACAGCTTACCTGGAGCTTTATCAAGGAATCTAAACTTGGATTTTATTATGAATTGAGGAGTTTGGAATCAGCACACTGTGGAAAGCCTAAGCCAACGTTTCTTTGATGTAGGATTTACAATATGTCTACCTGACCGTACTCCGTGTGGCTGTGGAGTAAGGACGAAATATGATTTAAGCAAATGTCTATTCCTTGATCAAAAATTACACGCGTACCTCAACAGTACTTTAGAATGCTGCTACCTTCATTGTATGAGCCTTGTCCTAGCTCTCAAAGAGGTTGACCAATGAAGCCATGGGACTCAGCCAGAGCTTTACAAGTATGTGGTGAAAACCCTGACAGATTCATTTTGGGGGAGCTGAGTATTTCTGTGTTACATCCTGATGGAGTAGTTTCTGATTTTAGAATAAGTGACGGGGATATTTTTAACAGAGTAAATAATGTCAGGTATATGAAAATGTCTTATTTAGTGAAACATAATTTCCATTTCCACTCAGTCTGAAAATGATCTAGTCTCTTGACTTGTAGTGGTGTGTTGTAATGATTTTGGACGAACTAGGCACTTGTTTTTACACTTGCTCATCTGCTCACTAAAGGAATGCTTAGTGAGCTCGGTTTGTTGGAAGATGCTGTAGTGGCTCAGTCCAACATAACTTAACAATACAGAGCTTCAGATGGGCTCCCTTCCCCGCACTACCTCCACCCTTGCCTGACATATCTAGTCAGTCACACTAACACCAGTGGGTGTATATTAGCCTAGTCAGTCCCCTGCAGGGCTTGAGCGGTGCCTGCAGCACTTCCTTTCCTCCTCCCGTGTTTGAGTTTAGCCGGGCCCCCGCCTGTACTGTGGGAGCCCCTCACCCCCGGCCTGGACCCTGTCTCCCCCCTACCCTGCCTGGTGCTGCTGCACTCGGCTCTGCTTCTGCTGGCCGAGGATGATGTGGCAATGCCATGTGTCGTCCTCTGAGTGCCGCTGCTACCGGCTGAACGGCTTCTCCCTGCTGAAGCGCTTCCCTCTCTCGGCAGATGGGGCCTGTGGTAAAGCCCTGGACCAGCCGGTGGGAGAGTGGCTGGAGCACGTGGGGCTGCCGCAGTACGAGAGCAAGCTCCTGCTCAATGGCTTTGATGACCTACGATTCATGGTGAGTCACCTGCAGCATGTCATCTCAAGGGTCGGTTCCACTTTACATCACCCTGTCTCTCCACTGTCAAACAAGCTGCATTAGTCTTTTTATGTCACCACTCTGCTTGTCTCTTGGTAACTCCACGCCCCCTTATTTCTGTCTCTCACTCACCCTTCCACTCTCTCTCTTCCTTTATAACACTTTCCCATCTCCTCTCCATAACTCCTCCTCACCTCTGTGCAACGCATGACCCAGCTAAAATTTATGGCTTCTTCCCGAATCCCTATAAAGAGTATGAGCTGTCACCAGTGGGAACACACAGACAGCCAACATTCATTAACTTTTTCCCAGCATTCCCACTCATCTCATTTACAGTAAAATTCAAATGTCTGTCTCCACATCGATTCCCTTGATTTACAGCCACTGTACTTGACCTCGGTTTAGATATAGTCACTTAACCAGGACAAACAATTCTTAATATAAGCACAGCATGTTTTATCCTAGATACACTTTGCATGGTTGATTGCTAAATCTTATTAAATCCTCCACAGATTATTCTCTATACTATCCATATGGTGGGCCTATCTTGCATTTACTGTACAAGAGATGATTACACTGCAGCAGCATGCTGTTGTGCTGTATTTTTTTTTTTACAATGATATGCTGCAATTGTATTACACATGTTTGCATGCATTTTTCTATTTTCAAATTTTTTATTTATACTGTAAAAAATGATCAAAAGTTCACAGTTTTTTCCACTGTTTTCCTAAAACATAAAAAGTTATTGAAGAATTTTATACAATTTAGCATTTTTTTATGCAACAGTAAGAATCTAATATTAATATATTCATACTAAAGCCCAAATGATGTCCACAATCTGTCTGAAAGCTTTATCATGTTTCCCGTAAAGAACATTGTGAGGAAACCTAATATTGCATTTGACAGGGATAGCCAAAAACACCACTTTCCATCTGATAGTCATGTTTCTCTGAAAACATGGCTATATGCTGTAAATAAATAGGCCTGGGGGTAACATTTCTCAGGCCACAGAGCTGCAATAGCACCATGGGTTATATGATACAGTGCGTCTGATGTCACAGTGGAGTTCAGTCAAGTGAGACCAGTGAGGTCAGAAAAAAATAGTGGTTGTATTGACAAATCAGTATAGTTTAAAAGTGCTACTGTCTTTTCTGGATTTCTTTTCCCATTTTGGGTAGAAATGAGATTGCAGTATAGTGGGAATTTATAAGAATGTGACCATTCAGACGGACTCAGCTTTATATTTGTTTATGAGGCGATGACACAACTATAAGAGCATGGTTGTAAAAATAAAGGAATACAGTATTTGGTAGGTGATTACAGCTACACTAATAAATCAGTTATCTCCAGAATAATACACTGGAGTTAATTAAGTTGGAAGTAATTTACACACTGAGAGATTTGGAAATGCTGTTATGTAATTAGTACACTAGGAACAAAAGGGCAAGTTGATTTTTTTCAGTCAGAAAATGTCCAGCAAAAAACACATTATGGATTCAGCCAGTTGTACTGTACTGTACAAAACTCAGGTCATCTGTATTAAATTCAGACTTCAATGCATAAGATTTGAGGGGATGAGTCCTTTGGCACAAAAAAAGGATGATTTCTAACCTTGACTGATTAAATCTAATTATTATATGTTTTTAGTCTTCTTGTAAATGACCATGTGGGAGCAGGTACTTCATTTAGTTGATGAAGAAATCTGTTCTTCTTATTGATTTGTTACACAGGCAACATAAGCCAACAAAAGCCAGATGCAACAACCAGGTAGAATAACTGTCATCCTCAATTGACTAAGCAATATCTCTGCCTGTATTTTGTTATTTTGCCCAAAATGTAACATTTATCATTTAGTAGATATAGTAGACTTAGAGAACAAAAAGCGAGCTTTACCGTCTGATGGAATGGGATTGAATGAATCCATGTAGATCAAGATTTCCAGGATACAGTGTGATGTGGACTTGGTTCATTAGCCTTTCTGATGTTCATGTTCATGCCACAGTTAATGTGTCTGCTAGACTTGATGCATCAAGGAAATAAATCATTAGCTTCACAAGGCAAATTAGCCATGGATATTTACAAGGATGTGGAGGTTGCAAACAAGAAGAAAGGTCAGAGTAGGCAGGCAGGCAGGCACTGTGAATGTTTAATATTGACCTTTTAGATTGTGCTAGGCTTGCTTCAGATGTCATCAATCTAACTGAACTTAAATATCAGAACTCATTTGTGGGATTCATTGCAAATTTGAGTAAAGTGATCAGTAGAGGGCAGTACTGTGGCTCCTTTTCAATTCCCCGTCATGTTTGATTTCATTTATGTATTAACACTGTATTTAGGAACAATGCAATGGAGCCCAGAGGAACATGTTTATATTTAACCATTTCTGGAAATCAGCTGACATAAAAACTGGGTAAACAAAGAGCAGATTTTACTATAAACACTATATCGTTTGTGAGCCCAGAGGGGATTGAAAGCTCTTCCCAGTTTAATTCTGCAGTGACAGGAGTCTCAGCACGCAAGCCTTTCTGTGCCCACAACCCACTGCTGTCACAGCTTAAGATACACTGTATAGTCCTGCTTGGAAAGTTTCCTTGTGCCCGCTCGTCAGCGCACGAGAGCAGCCGCTCACATGAGTCGGCAAGGCTCTCTGCATGTGATGATTGCTCTGAGATGCAGCTTTTGAGGGATCATAAATTATGAACAGCTGTGTGCCCATTCTCATAATTTTTACACGATGATAATCATTTTTGCACTACCAAAAGTGGGGCAACCGTAGCTTTCATTCTCTTGGCCTTCATGGCCACACATTTCATTTGAGTGAAAAAATACACAAATCTTTTTTTTTTTTTTTTTAGATAAAGAGAACATCTTAGAAGCTTGTCCATCATCATCCACTTGTATTGCATCTCTTCTGCATTAATATTGCATCAGACCCTACATTCCCCCCATTTTTGAATATCGTAATATGGAGCTGAACATAAACATTCTGATCCGTAAACTCTGTATTCTTTATCATTTCCCTGTTACGTCCGCTTTAAAAATGGAAAATCTTTATGCTTCCAAACTATTCCTCTGTGGAGAAGGGGAATGGAGCAGTTCTAATTCACTGTTGCCTTAACTGAGTGCATTTAGTGAGATGAAGGACTTCTACCATGGCTACATCTGCAAGGCATATCAGATCAAATCACACTACCATAGCTTATAAGCTATGTAAGAACTGAACCATACATTCCTGTCACATGTTTCAAATGCGGCATGAAATAACAAGTTTGCAAAGTCTCCCGAGGCATCATCAAACTTCCAACCGTGTTAATAAAAGTGGAGGATCTATTTTTGGACCTCCCTTACATCAGGCCCGCTTCATTTTGACCTTTTATTCTTGCGATCAGTGAGTAATCTCCCAACTGCACCCTGATAGAGGCCTGTGAATACTGCTGCATTGTGCTCTGAAACCAATCCAGAGAGAGCAGATTGAGTAAAGACTACAGAACATTTTAACATTCTTGGCCAGAGAGAATCAATCTGCAGCAGTCCTCAGGGAAAAACGCTTAGCTCTTCATTTTCATGGTTCTCCTTGTATTTACATTCCTACCTATAAACCAGTATAAGACGATGAAGCAAGTGGGGCTGTGATTTGAATAAGGGAAGAATTTTCTTTGTGAAGCTTTCAGGATGTGAGAAAAAAAATCTATTGTTCATTGTTTCCACACCCTAAATTAACAAATAGTCTCAAATTGTTTGTGGAACACTTCCTCTTGGACTGTTTGGTGTCCCTGGATGAAGCACAGCAGCACAGAGATCCTGGAGACGCAGCAGCAATTCTGAAGGCTTTGTTCCTGCTGAGTCGCACCAGATCAGATTGATTACTCTTGGCACGCACAATTTATTTGACTTCATTGTCCTCCCACTCTGCTGTTACTGCTTGTGTCAGAGATGTGCATATTCTGCGTGTTTGCGCATGCGGTGTGTGTTAAGAGCAAGTGTGTATTTTTTCAGTCACAGTTTTACCCTTGCAGTAAGGCTGTGGAGCAAGTCATGATACTTTTGAGTGGATTGTTTATTTCTGTGCAAATATGTACACGGTATTATAAATGATTTTTCTTGCATACTATTGTTCTGTATATCCATTTCCATTCTGCGTACTGTCTATGTGCTTGTGTGTATGTGATTGTTTGCATGCACGTATGTCTGATGACTACGCCTTTGGGTGTGCCTGTGTGTGAATGTGTTTATTTGTGTGTCTCCCCTGTGTTTGTGCACATGCAGGGAAGTAACGTGATGGAGGACCAGGATCTCAGAGACATCGGGATCACTGATCCGGGACATCGAAAGAAAATCCTCCACGCGGCACGCAACTTTCCCAAGGTGCTTAATATCGTAGGTTATCTTCAGCACTAAGCAGACCAGCAACTGACAAGATCTCAAATAACAAAAAAACCCCAATAAGGACAAGTACTTCACTTACAATACTAAATAAGCTAAAAATAGATAAATGGCACCCTGATATGTGTTATAGTGTTGAAGGAGTATTCATGCTGTCCATAGAGTGGGTTAAGCCTGAAGCAACAAAGCTGTCTAAGCAAACAAAATGACAGAGTGGGTTCATTTAAAACCTATTATCTTTCATTCAGGAATACACACATTTCACTCTATGATAGCTGGGATAGGCTCCAGTTCAGTGACCCTCAACTGGACAACTGATTAAGAGGATAGTTGAATGGATGGATGGATGGATGAGTGGCTTTATTTGTGTTTGTTATACTTTGATATCTGTTTGATATCACTGCAAATGAAAAAACGAGTCATAAAAAACTAGTTATTACTTTTTTTTAGACAACTATCCATTTTTAAAAGACAATTTTTCTCCTCATTTACAATAAAAAAAATTAAATATAAGGTATGCTTGAGTGAATTATGTTTTATACTACGCTAGTATCATTTTAACATTAATCCACAAATTAACCGGTGACTCTGTTAAAAACATTGAAATGATAGCATTATGCAGTTGGTCCAGCACCTTCGTGATGCGAGTCCTCTTTTAGTTCACAGATGTTTTCTGTGAGATTGAACTCTGGTTAATATGGAAGTCATTACAGTTTAATGAACTCATTTGGCCTCTTTCACTAAGATGTTTGTAGAAATGTTGTTAAACTGAACAAAAACCAACTGTGCATGCAAAATTACTGTTAAATTCATGTAACAGTTGCACTGGCCAATTTTGTTCTTACCGTCGTGAGTACAATAGTGAATCATTCTGATCTTGCCTTCTACATTCTGCATACGGCTACACCTCCATTTCTCCAAGGTCCATTTCTTGCATATTTACTTTGAGGTGGACTATGAAGGAGGCTGATGAAGTTATTTTAAGAATGGAACAATATTATCCAAACTGTTCAGTGCAAAGAACACTGCTGGCTTTCAAATAAGCTTTATTAAAAGCAACTCTTTTCCATGTTCTTGGTTTGAACTTGGTTTGAGCAGATCTTGACTATGTCTACGTGCCACTGATTTACTGTACAAATCTCTGTCTGTGTGTTTGTTTTTTGGCTGCTAACTCCTCCTACACAGTCAGGAGTTGAGCAACCAAACTTGGCACACAGGTACATCATAGGCTCCTGAAGGTTATTATGTATATCAGGTTTCTGATGTCATCAGATTCCCTAGCAATTACTAAGCAACAGGCTGAAATGACTTGTTTTTAGTGTTTAACAATTATAACACCATCTAAAAGTATTGTATCTTTTTCGTCATCATAGTAGCATCTCATTTATATCCACAAAAACTGAAATATACATGATCTATTGTATGTTGCCTAGCAACCACATAGCAATTGGCTAAACTTACCTATTTACGTGCCTACAGCAAAGCATCATATCATTTTCATTTCATGGCCACCAGCATGAACAGGTCAAACAATGCTATAGCATGGGCATGTACTAGTTCCTTTAGACCACCACTTGAACAAGTGTACCTAAAGAAGTGGAAGCAGCTGATATACTGTCACCTAAGATCATAAGCTTTGCAGTGTTGTACAAATTACATTTTTGTTCTGGAGATGAGAAACATTTAGATGGAATATGTAGGGATCAGCAAAGTCAGGAGTAACCTTCCCCGGGGACTATAAATGATGATTTCACAGCACTCCATCCGGCAATCGTTGATGTTTCAGTCAAGAGCTGAACTGACATTGCTGTTTTTTAAGCTACTTGCCTAGCATGGCCGCTGCAGCAGTCAGCTTTAGTTGGGTAGAAAACCCAAATTGTCCTTCCATAAAGTCACAGTTCTTGCTTACTTAGATGCATCTGTCTCCGTAGGTAAAAGCACTGGGGTGTGATGGCAGCACATCTCTTGCCACTTGGTTGGATGGCCTTGGTCTGCATGAATATCTGCCCAACTTTCTTGCCAGCGGCTACCGCACACTGGAGTGTGTTAAGAACCTGTGGGAACTGGAGATCATCAATGTAAGAGGCCACTGATTACTCAGATTATAAATGCATGCACTACGAGTAATTAAATGCATAAAGTAGCAAAAAAAAAATTTTTTACTTCTTTTTTTCTACTAACATTTTGCAATGTTTTATGACGTTTTTCCTTTTCTGAGTCCGAAAACATTATTTTTTTCGATAAAATAAATGCTACCTAAAAATATAATTAAGTAAGTATTAAGTATTTAACTGTGTCTACAATAGTCAGTGCTCACCCATTAATATTGTATGCTCTACTCTCCTTAGTACTTCTATATTTGTACCACTATGTTTACAGTTCAGTTGCTTCGGTCGTGTTTTATTTACCTTCATGTTTGAATAACAAAGCTGTCATGGCTGAGGTGGGTAGGTGAGCTAGTGACTAACACTGTGGCACCGCAAGGAGTGAGCATGCTCTGCTCATTGTTAAGGAAGAAAATCTTTAAAGTTAATATTTTTAAGCTGTCTTGCTGATGTTTATCAAAAGCATACACTCATAAAGGTTATTGTATTATATAAAGCTTTTCTTTAACCAGGAAGTTAAATTCTTCAGATTATGATTATATCTTTCATAAGAGTGTCGTGGGCTGACATAAGCAGGATTAACCTAGCATGTTTTCTAATGTCAGGTAAAACCATAGATGCAAGAAAAAAACACTCTAACATGCACTCTAAAAAAAGGGACACAGAAGCTATATTGTATAGCTACAAAACTAATTTCAAAAAGGTAGAGGAAATGTAGATTGTTTTCATTTCTTGTCATTCTGACAATTGTTTTTAACACAGCTAGCATGAAGTTTTTTTGAGACTGAGAGGTCTGTGTGAGTGTTTCTGGATTGTTGTGTTGTTGTGTCAATGTACATGCAAGAAATGAGACATTCGGTACATTAGAGAGAGCAGTCTAAAGAAACTGAAAAAGGTAAGTTTATATGATAATATATTATATTGCAATCATATTCTCAAATTATACATGCCCGTCATAACTAAGACTAAATGAATGAAAACTAAAATAAATTGAGACATTTTTATTAATTTATTTGTGATTATGTGAATAATAAATAATCACATAATCACTCACCATACCTTTTATACAAGACAAGAGTAACGAATATTGATTATATTTAAATGTGAAATTCAAAAATGGATACAGAATAGAATTTAATAATCCTTTAATTGTCCCACAGGGGGAAATTTGGTTGGAATAGCAGCAAAAAACCAAAACAAAACACATATACAAACAGAACGGGACACAGGACATAGAACAGAAACACACAACATTTTTATATATTTACATCATGGACAATAGTTACCAAAGCAGTAGTGTACAGTTGTTAAAATTAAAGTACAGATATATAGCATGTACTCAGAAAATAATTCAGAAAACATTTGATTTAAGTTTACCTTAGTTGATAATTTGTTGCTTTTGTATTAAGCTCTATGAACCTTTGGGGGTTTACAGTCCAGCACTGATTAACTCTGTGGATGGATGTAGTCATCAGCTTTTGAATCTGTGATGCTGTGGGCCAGTTCTCATAGCCTTAATAACAAGGCCATCTTAATATGTGGCTCCCAATGAAGTTAAGCAGCACTTTAAAATGCTGAGCTGAAATATCAGAAATGCTTTGTGATGGAAGCATTTGCATAAAACTATAGCAGAGACAAAATCACCACACAGTAATTAGTGGATAATTAACAGATGTGTGTAAATTAAGAGACAAAGTTGTGACTGATGACATGGAGAAATGTAATTTGGTTTTATCCGTATGGAAATAGTGTAACATTTTATGAGAATTAGTGATTAGAGAGGCGGTCTTATTAATTTTGCCTAGAAACATGGGTGCAACATGTGTAGGAGGATTGATTTCTCAGATTGTGTGTACATGGAGAACAGTGTTTGAAACATTATTACTAGAATATGGAAGTAGAAAAACACATGATCATTAATTAGAGATTTTTCAAGACGGCGCTCTTTTTAAAAAAATAATTAATTATGAAATATTGATAATATTGGCTACTATGTAAATTATCCAAATGGAATAATCTGCCTGTGATGACGATTTGCAAATAGCCATCGCCTTGTCTGCTGGAGTCACAAATCAAAGCTTAAGCAGTATTGAGCTGCAACAACTTTATAGGCATCCTTTTGATGTTTTTCCATTTGCCACTTGATACCTGGTTTATTCACATTGTACAAATTTCACTTTTTATAACTGATGTTGGAGATCTTGCAAAGTGGAAGTTTATTGTTGATCAATTGCTTTAATATGAAAGCTGTGCAATGTCTGCAGCATTATATCCTTTTTGCACTTTATAAGAAGGAGAAGCTTGTGTAAATTCAGTGTTATGATATCATCTTGCTCATGTGAAGAGCAAGAAACTCATAAAAAGGTAATTTACCATGAGAGAGTGGTGATCTCTTGCCTATATCATAGTGGATATATATATAGTAAATGTCCAAACTAGAACATGTCTGAAGTGGGCTGTTTCCTTATGTATGCTGCATGTGAGAGATGACAACTGGAAAATATCCCAACTTGATTTTCCTAAAACTGTCCAAACTTCATATGTGAAAATAGGATAATCCAAACGTGTCATAGGGTTATGTTGCTGACATCGGTGCAGCAGAGACACAAGGGTTGTGAGAGTCAATACAAGCAAGTTTGTCGGACAGAATGTGATGAGACAGGAATGTGCGTTATATAAAGCAATACATAAATTCCATCTATATACCAATACAATTTTTTTGTTTGCAGAGTGAGTGTTGTGCAGCTGTCTGAATGCAGCCATCTCATTTGACCAAATGGTTGTCAGTCAATCAACAGTAATGTGCATTTCCTTTGTTCACTGCAATAATGTGATCAATATTTCCTACTGTGAGAGAGGGTCTGACTGGATCACTGATGTATATGGAATCAAAATCTGTCTGTCAGTTTTTAATGTGGTGATAATGTTTCCATGTTTTCTAATTTATAACAGATTGTGTTGAAAATATTATTTTTCTTGTTGTGACTCATAAAGAAATACCAGCAATGAGATGATCCAATATGGCTCATATACCAAAACAGCACCGTAACAAAGCTGATATTGAGTCATCGTTTTTCTTTTTGTTTTGTTTTTTTGCACTTCTCACTCCGTTTGTTTGTGTGCGTAGTTATGAAAAACACTGTGGCGGTAAATTAGCAGAAACCAGCAACAGCTGCAGTCACAGCAGCAGCAACAGTCGAGCAGCAGCCAAGCATACTGTCCATGCAGTGTGTGAGGGATGGTGTCCAGCAGACTGCGATGCAGAAGGATGGGGGTGTGAGTGCAGGGCACATTACTTTCAGTGTGCAGAGTAGCAGAACTGCCTCTGAGCATCTGAACTCACTTTGCCCATCACATCTCCAGCATCCTCCTCAGCGTCTCACAGCAAACAGCATCGAGCACTGAGATGATCTGTGAGCTGGTTCCCTGTATAATCCCAAGGTGTTCTTTATTACTATTTAAATTTCGTCTCATTTCGCAGGCCTCGTGCACACTGGCCTCACTGGGATTCTGCACATGGTTTTGATGAAAACAGCACCAGAAATCCAGCACACAAACCAGTTGCCTCTTCTGCCTCCGACTCCCACTGAATAAATAATTGAAGCTTTAGACAAAGAATCATATGAGCCTGTTATGGAATATTTTGTACCCGTGACATAATTGCAAATGTAACATTAATCACTCAACATCCACCTTTACTGGATGAGCATGAATGTTAATAGCCGATTATGCAAATTGTCAGTTTTGGGGTGATGGTTTTTGACTATATAAAATTAGCTTATTGTTCCTTTTGTGATGATTTGAGTCTCACTAGCTTCAGCGGCCTTTGTAAAAAAAAAAATGTTTAGCGAGACAGATGCTGTGGATAGACGAACAGTGTTTTTATACTGTGAATGGCAAACACAGTGTGTATTTACATAGTGACACTGTTATGCTTCATCCTTTTCATATGTCACATGTTATCCTACATAAATCAGTAAAGTCTTGTGTGTTTTTTAAGCACTATGTCCAAAAATGGGTCGTAAATTATAGAGCGTCCCGAGAAGGAGACAGTGCGGTACTTCAAGCTTACGGCAAAACAGATTGAGGTTGAATTATTGACGAGAGTCATTTCTGTTTGCCTGTGGATGCCTGCCAGTGAGGGGTGCTTGCCACTCTGTGTCAGTTTATTTTGAATATAAAGTATCTATATTAGTTTAGTCTAGATAAACTCCTGTATGTAAGATATGGATCTAAGAGTACAGTGGAAAGTCTCATGCTATGCCCTGATGTTGTCCTCTCTAGGTTATTAAGGTTGGTCCTCTGGGTCACAGGAAGAGGATCATTGCCTCTCTAGCAGAGAGACCCTATGAAGAGGCTCCATCTAAGTCCCGTCGTCTGTCCCCAATTATGGTAATGCATTTCACATTTTCTCACATTTTCTCTAGAATTCACAAAAATACGGTCAGCTCCAAAAGATGGAAGATGTTTTTATTTAAAGCACCAGCCAGACTGCAGCAGTGTTAGTGCTGCTGTTTAACCACTGTCGACACTTATTCGATTAATAGATCAGATATGCTTAATGTGCTTAGTAAGAAGGATAGCTCTGCTCATACCCTCGATATAACACACATATCGTGTCACTCTTGTCTCTTATGAGATTTTTTTCCCCCTCAGCATGTTTACCCTCGTTCCTGTGTGCTGTTATATTTTAGTTTATTTTTTTCTTACTGTACAACAATCCAGACAGAGCTGAAGTGTAAAGCAGCATGGCACGGTTCAGCTGTTTTTCTATACCAACATCATTTTGTGAGAAAATGGATCCTTTTTCTTTCTGCAGCAGAAATCTAATTTTGGAATGAGATTCTTCAATATCATTATGTTCACAACAGTTAAATACTGAGGGCTGATTTCCCAGGCAGATTAAACTGGGCTAAAAAGAATTGAGAATCTCCACGGAAGAGGCTCTTTTTGTCGAGGATTAGGCTTGGATGTAGATCAGGAAAACCAGCCTGTGTAGACAGTGCTTTCAAATCATTAATCTGTGTGTGTGTGTGTCCGCGTGTGTGTGTGTGTGTGTGTGTGTGTGTGTGTGTGTGTGTGTGTGT